GCGTCAATAAAAGCAGGACCCCAGTCGACAGAAATCAGTTGCAGCTGGACCGCGGGCAGGGATAGAGCCTGAACGCGGGCATCAGGCCCGGTTCACTCGCCCCTTTGCGGCAAGAAAATCCTAAGACAAGAAATCCTTCCACCCAAGAAGAAGAAGAAGAAGATTGCTCGAAAGCCGCAGAGAAGTTGCAGCCAAGTCAAAGACAGGCCGAAGAGTTGCAGGCCAGACAGGCAGTAAAGTTGCAGACCAAACAAGCAAATCAGTTCCACCCCAGTCGATAGAAAAGAGTTGCTGGACGGAAGAAGAAGAAGTTGAAATCAAGCCAAGCCAGAGATCAGAATTCGACCAAACCAGATCGAAGTGAAGAAATACAACTCAAGCCGAAGAGAAGAATCAGCTGCGAACGACTGATAGAGATTAGCCCCAGTGTCGAACTAAACCACACTCCGACATACACAATTCTAAAGAGTAGACAACTCGAAATCTTTAAGTTGTATGATAGAAGCTTGGTGCCATAGTTCACAAAGCGGGTCGGGAAATAAGAACAATTTTTATGTAACGGACATTAGATATAAAAAGTTGTTACCCTTTTTTTATTAGTAATTTTTGTCTCGTGAGTTTTTTTTTTTTTTACTTGTGTTTTGCCACCCCTGTCGGACTCAACTAGCATACGGCCCAATCCTGCTGGTCCCGTCTGTCTAAGATCTAAACACAACGTGGGTAGACAGACCGGAGATCAGTACAGTTGTTTTTAGCAACCAGGTATTGGAAGCGGGTTGGGAAAGGCGAGGCTGGTGATCATCTAACCAAGGGGTTGGAACGGCACACTTGGAACAGCGAAGAGCGACCAGGAGGAGCGACGTCACAGTTGGCGCCGTAACCAAAGGATTCGACCCTGGGCCAGGTGTGTACCCGTCACACCTACCACTCATAGAAAAAGAAATGGGAAGTAATTTTATTTTGCAGCAAGATAACTGCAGCATCCATGTGGCCACATCAGTGAAAAATTGGATGTATGAAGCAAATATAACTACTCTGGAATGGCCTGCAAGAAGTCCAGACATAAATTTAATTGAAAACATATGGGAAATGCTTGCAGAGCTTCTTTACGACGGGCCAGAAATAACCAGAGAGGCTGAACTGTGGCAGCGCATACAAGATGTTAAAAATAAACTGCTAGAAACACGAAGAGACGTTATTATCAATATGTACGAACATTATGAAGATAGACTGATAGAAGTCATTGAAAAAAGGGTGCTGCCATAAACTACTAGCATTGTTTCTGCAATGTCCGAAAAGTCCTGTCGCCTGTGTAATCTGAAAATTTGTAAAAAAAATAAAAATACTTCTAATTTGAATTCTGCTTTTCCATTTGTAGTATTGAAACAGTTTTTAAATGTTATTGCCATTACACTAAAACTGTACAGACTGCCTGTGCTACCTAAAACTTGAAAAAATAAAGTATCTGAAAAATAGTGTCGGCCCCCTGTAGGAAGCTGATGATCCAAGGGAGTTTGCATTCGTTTGCGCCTGGTTTCTAAGACATCGCTATGGAAATGGATCCCCTAAAGCAGGGGTCGGCAACCCTTGGCATGCGTGCCAAACATTGCACACCGATGACTTGTTTCTGGCACGCGAAACTTATTCATTAGATTCTCTTTTATTCTTTCCCTCTTTCATGTCTATCATTATCTCATGTATTTTTATTTTCTTTCCTTTAGAGATTGTGCAGAATGTCACGATAATTAGCTAAGAAACGATGTCATTCAAACGAAGAAAATATTAGAGAATTTAAAGAATACTGGACTGAAAAATGTGGTTTGTGCATTTTTCTGTTCCTAAACAATCGTTTGTAGGACTTCTCTTGATAAGGGACAACTTGAAAGTGTCCATATGAACTTAAGCAATAAAGAGGAAAAAAGAGAATGAATTTCTCGTGAACTGAACAAGACAAAAAAACAAAAAAAAAAAAAACAAAAAAAAAACAAAAAAAAAACAGGCTGATACTTTTATGAACTTTATTTCAGGAAGGACCAGTTCCAACTTAGTTGCTGCTAGTTTTGAGGTTTCAAAAATTTTTGTCTACACATGGAAAAAAAATTGTGTCAGAGATTTGACCAATTTTGGCACGCACTCTCAAAAAGCTTGCCTACCCTTGCCCTAAGTTCTTCCGGCATAACACCGCTGGCGTATATTATATTTATTATTTCTGTAATTATGTCAACACCGAAATCATCAAAGACTGCCAGCATCTCTAATGCAATTCCATCTGGCCCTGATCATTAATTCCTGTTCAATTTGTCTTGTGCCGATCTTCAATGTATTTATTCTCTAACGGATTTACATTCACATCACGTTGAAACCCCGGTTCTCATACGACTGCTGAAGTCGAGCCGGGTCAGATGGGTGATCGTTTGGGAATATCAACTGCTGTAAAATTAGATTATCGGAGGTGCAAGGGATAACGGCTCAGGATTGTTAATCGGAGAGGCAAGTTCCAATTCCAATTGGGTTCGTTATATTCACTTACGCACAAATAACCTTGGGAAAGGTATGAATCCACCCCTTCTCCTGACAACTATGGATTAATTAGTAGGGTTTTTATCAGTAAATCATTATTATTTAAAAAAAAATATTCCAATTTAAAAAATATTTTCTCGCTTTAAAATAACCCACCAAGAGTTGATAGACAGTAAAATACAGATTAAACCATATTTAAAATATTTTTTTATTATGTGCATTCTTCTTTTGATTAAGATGTATTTTGTTGACGAGCACGCCTTTAGTTCTGTTATTTCTTTTATTCTTTTATGCATCTCTACTTTATTCATGATACTCATTCTTTCTTTCTTTCGATATGTTGAGTCATGCCTTTTTTGCTTGATTGCATCTACATTGTTCGGAGTATCGTCCTCATCTTTGTTGCCATATTTATCTCAAGGTTTCGGCCTTTTTCAGTTGGTGGGAATGTCAAACTGAACTCTTTATTTCGCTCGTAGAGGTAGACTGTTCTAGTTCCACGTGCCATGTCTAATGGATGTCAGTTATCAGTTATCTCCTGTTAATTCCCCTCTCCAAGTTCTCCACCGCTTTAAACAGGTATTGAACTTACACTCTTTGGTTAGTTGCCATTTCTTTCTGTGGTAGACTAGTTATCGTCCAAGGCTATAGAATCCAGACTGTCCTGCTATTTACCTATAGCTGGAGAGAGAGAGAGGAAGAGGATTCATACCTTTCCTAAGGGTATTATCACGTAAGTGAATGAAATCGATTTGACTGGAATTCGAACTCGGCTCTCCGATTCCTCAATCCGAACCGCTACAGGATCATAAACAAAAATTGCAATCACTCGAGGCCTACCAACAACAGCAACAACTAAAATGGATAGTACATGTAACTAGAAGACAAAATAATGACATAATTAATATGTTGACATTTCACACTACTTTAAACAAAAGGTTTGGAAGGAAACTCCTGTCAGCACTGGAAAGAGTGATTAAAGCTACCGGGCTTGAGAAAATTATTGTTCTAAAAGAAAGATTTCATAAATTTCACCCCCCCCCCAAAAAAAAATTACCAATTATTTCCTTGCAGGGAAAAGGTTAATATCACAATTACCGTCACCATTAGCTTCTGATGAGTGTTATTTTGTGCTGATCCTAAAATATTTAGGATACTTCTATTTTTATTACAACGAGTATACATAGGTGGCTCCACTTATTCGAGGATAACTAGGGCGGCTAGCCAATCCCTATTGCAGACGTTTGCATTTGTATTTATTCAACACCCTTTGTTTTATACTGCAACTATGACAGATCGATTTTTATAATCCTAACCCTCGCATCGTGTCCATTCTCTGTTTTTATTTCACAATTCCTTTTCGCCAACGAAAATATAATTCCTGTTTGCAATTTTTTTTACATTGATATGTGTTTTTCTAATTTCCCAAGAAAGAGATAAAGCCAATTCCTAATTTCCTTTAGCCGCATGTCAGATTTTCGATAGATAAAAAAGTAAATTCTTGGGGCATCGTTCCAAATCTGTAGGGGGTAAGGCAACCCAGATAGACCTTTTTTCACTTCCACATTCTCAGGGAAAACGTCATCCATTTTCTCTCACTATCTCTCAATCTTCCAGTTTATATTTCATTTTGTACTTAACCCTTTTTCTGATTAGAATTAATGTTAAACCACTTCAAAGCATCAATGTCACAGAATTTGTGATTATTAAAACAAATTGCGCATTGTGATACTGGATTATTTATCTTTTTCTTATATCGGCATATTAAGTGGATTAAAAATAGTATATTACCTTTGACAGCATAAGGAAGAGAACATGATTTATTATGAGTAGGTGTATATATATATATATATATATATATATATATATATATATATACCTTCTCATATAGAAATCAACACAGAAATATATATATATATATATATTGATAATATTAGTGGTTAATATAACTACACACACACAAATATATATATAAAATATATAAATACATACACTTACATACACACACACACACGCGCGCGCACACACACACATACATACATATATATATATATATATATATATATATATATATATATATATATATATATATATATATTCCAAGAGGACAGAATCCAGGTAGAACTCAATGTTCAGGACAGAGTAAGAATATAATATAAAAGGGTTAGAATTTATTGCTTTGGAATCGTAATTATGATCCAATTCATCAGACCTACAAATTAAGTTAAGACATGCGCCAATGGCCAAGATATACGTATATATATATATATATATATATATATATATATATATATATATATATATATATATATATATATATCTTGTCCATTGGCGCATGTCTGAACTGAAAATTATATCGCCTTACCGTCATCACCAATAGTTACTGGCCACCCTTTAAGATGTGCAATAATGCTTAATTCAGTTCTAATGAAAACCAGAGCCATTTTATGCATTACGATCATTAAATTCGCCTCCAACGAATGCTCTATATATTGTATGGGTCACTTCTCTCGCTTATGTTTCAAGGTTAAAGTCGTCTAATGCACACGCTCTCACAATCAAAGCTTGCGCCGCTGTGTTGATTTCTATATTTTATCCATGTGTATGTCTGTATGTATGTATGTGTCTATTTATCTGTTTATCTCAGTTTATTCATATCTATCTATCTATCTATCTATCTATCTATCTATCTATCTATCTCAGTCTTTTGATATCTAACTGAGTCTATTCATATCTATCTAACTTACTGCTCATTATCTATCTATCTATCTATCTATCTATCTATCTATCTATCTATCTCAGTCTATTCATATCTGAGTATATTCATATCTATCAATCTAACTTACTGTTTATTATCTATCTATCTATCTATCTATCTATCTATCTATCTATCTATCTGAGTCTATTGATATCTATCTGAGTCTATTCATATCTATCTATCTATCTATCTATCTATCTATCTATCTATCTGAGTCTATTCATATCTATCTATTCATCTATCTATCTATCTATCTATCTCAGTCTATTCATATCTATCTATCTATCTATCTCAGTCTATTCATATCTGAGTATTCATATCTGCGTCTATTCATATCTAACTATCTAACTTACTGTTCATTATCTATCTATCTATCTATCTATCTATCTATCTATCTATTTCAGTCTATTCATATCTATCTATCTATCTATCTATCTATCTATCTATCTATCTATCTATCTATCTATCTCAGTCTATTGATATCCGAGTCTATTCATATTCATATCTATCTATCTATCTATCTATCTATTTATCTATCTATCTATCTATTAGACGTAATATCAACGTAGATACTAACACCTGAAAATATTTTTCATCCGTCAGGAGGTGTAGCGTGGAAAATTGTATTTGTCGTTGGGTCTGAAGTGTTGCTTATATAGCTGGTAGATATATGGCAGAATTCAACCTTCTTCCAAGAGGGGCACAAATTAACCACTTCCTTGTGATGAATGTGGCCCTGTCTACTTCTCTAGGGCAAGCCCCCATCAGCCACAAACTTTAGCACAGAAACGCCCCTGTCTTCCAATATGATACCCAGGAAGACTTTTCATGCAGCATTTGTAACAAAGTGTGTAGGTCAGCCAGTGGACTCACACGACACCATAAAACTAAGCATACAGATAATCGGGTTGCTGTCGAAGGACTCACCTTTACTCAATGGGGTATGGCTAGCAGGTCAATTGCAGGTCTCGTGAGCTATTTAAGACACAATCAACGATATGGAAATCATTGCTGAAATGTTCGTTTGGGAGTTATGAGCCCTAAGGTGGTCTTACTGAGTCACGAGTCAACTTCCACTATCTATCTATCTATCTATCTATCTATCTATCTAATTCTGTTTATGAATTTATTCATATCTCTCTGATCGTAACTGACAGATTTCGTTTGCATTTATCTTCTGTGTCTCCCTTCGTCTGTTCATATCTGTATATACATCATCTTTCTCTCACTCACTCACTCACTCACTCACTCACTCTTTCTTCTTTTTCTCTCTCTCTTCTCTCTCTCTCTCTCTCTCTCTCTATATATATATATATATATATATATATATATATATATATACATACACACAGACACAGACATACATAGATATATATAATAACGCACATTGAGTACTGGTGTTAATAAAATAATGCTAGATATAATACAACAGAGCTATTAAGTATATATTAATGAATATCTTTTCATGAACTGAGACGTTGCGTAACTGGTGAAGAAAAACTGATATATATATATATATATATATATATATATATATATATATATATATATATATATTAGGAGATCAGCCAGCAATCATGCTACATTGGTTTCATCTTTTCGGCAATATAGGCCAAACACACACGCGTGCTCTCTCTCTCTCTCTCTCACACACACACACACACACACACATATATATATATATATATATATATATATATATATATATATATAAAGTCTCACCTTATGTTTGAAATGGTTGTAACCGTAAGTTCTATGCTAACGATTTCTTCTTTCGCACTTCTCGCTTGTGGAAATCTCTTTCGATTTCTTGCTTCCCGGTTAACTTTTATCTTCAAAAATATAAATGTAGTTTCAATATGAATGTTAATTGTCGTCTTCTGGCGCCTTGTTTCCTTTTCTTTTCTTGTTCTCTTTTCCATTGAGTAACCCTTTGCGTCTCAGAGGCTTTATTGCCTTGTTCGGGGAAAAATAATTATATATATATATATATATAACACTAATAATCTTATCAATATAAGCAGTTGTACTCGTCCGGCAAAACCTTACGTGTTTTAGCTTGTAAATCAAGAAAACCTTACCCAAGGGGAAAAAAAAAGAGTAAAAAAAGAAAGAACTAAGAACATATATTCCCGGCGAAAATAATCGTCTAGAATCAAAGTTCAGAGTCCAAAGAAAAAAAACCTCCGATACGAGTAAAGTAAAATAACTAAACAAAGTGCTCAATACGCTAAGTAGAGCAAATAAAGCAAAGTAAACCTAAAGAGCCAAACAAACCTACGTAGGTTTCACCTACGCGGATCGTCAGGCCTCCTGAAGATCCACGTAGGTGAAACCTATGTAGGTTTGTCTGGTCTTTAGGTTTACTTTTTATATATATATATATATATATATATATATATATATATATATATATATATATATATATATGTTTTGTGTTGCTGTAATTGTGTCAGCATTGCCTACCCAACGATTTTAGAGGATGGATTTTTGATCTCGCTAGAAAAGCCACGTTTCCAAATGCTGATTTTCAAGTCTCATCATTGTCTTCATTTTCTCCTGCGGCCTTGTGGCAATCTGAGTTAAGCTTAATAATCAGACATTAAGACAGAGGTCAGAATAAGTAATACGAAGGTGAGTTATCCATGTTATTTTTGCGTTCTCTGCTGGTGGTAAGTCGGTTTGAAGATTGGGCAGGTCGTTCGGTTAATGTGATGTGCAGAATAGGAAATTGGAATAATACGAAGAATAAGAATACAAACGAGAATGAAAATGGAATTGAAAGAATCAGTTGATTTATTTATTTATTTATTTTTCATTTGTAACAAGGATAAGAATAGACATTCCGCCAAATACGTGAGAAGTTTGCCGATTCCACAGGAGTAGAACGGAAGAGAGCGTTCGTAAATCGTACAAACGGTTCCAAAATATATTGTTCAGCATGACGCACACTTTTACGCACTCACTCAATCACTAACTCACTCACTCTTTCTTTCTTTCTTTCTCTCGCACGCATGTATACACACACACACACACACACACACACACACACACACACATATATATATATATATTGTTTATTGAGTATGTAGCCTTATACTTCATTTATACCCAAACTCTGATCTGAAATGTATATTGTTTAATGTTAAATCTATGTGATTAATATTCGGCACAGAATTAAGTGCTTTGACAACGAAGAAGATTATTCTGAAAAAAATATTTCTGTGTAATATCAATGTCTTTCGATACCTACAGTTTAAAATTAATTTTTAAATAAGAATAATATTTCTTGAAGGTTTTATTTAGTTTTAGTTTCAAGCTAATAAATGGAATTTGTTATTTCCAATAGGTAAAATATTTTATGTATTTCAAACTGAATTTAAATTGACTGGGATGTGTTTTTTCTGTTATTAGTAAAAACGCTAAAATCGTCTATATTGACAAATCTGTCAACACATCATAATACTCTTTATTAAAATATCTTTCTAAAATAGTATATACTTTTCTGAAATTTTACTTGAGCAATATTAACTGATTTAAAGTTTAACTAATCTAATTTGAAACAAATATTACTAACTTTTAGTTTAAAATATCACAGAAAAGCATTTTTAACCCGGAGATTTCTCGATATATGTTTGGTAATTTTTTCTAAGGTGGATATAACTGTAACAATTACTTGACAAATATAACATAAGCGCCTTTATTATCTATCTATCTATCTATATATCTATCTATATATATCTATATATATATATATATATATATATATATATATATATATTAACTATCCAGTAATGTTAAGAATTTAGGAAAATACTCTAATATTTTATTGAATTTCAGACTTCAAATTGACAGAGAATTTTAAAAGCTTTAAAAGTTTATAAATTATTCTAATTAAAATTAAAAAGATGAAAACAATGAAAAAAAAATTCATATAAAATTCATTAGTCTTCGAAAAAAATATTCGTAAGACAATTCTGTCCGTAATTTATATTTACATATAAAAGCAATGAAAAGCTTTTTTCGAATTAAATAATGCTTTAGATTTATCGCCTTTTTTCATTTTATGATACAGAGCAGATTTTCTCTGTGTGTCCTGTACGATCAAAAAAATATTTCATGAGTTAAATGCTCCGAGGAAGTGTCCTTATATTTAATATCTAATATAAACATTAAACCCTACAAAAAAGAAGGGCTGGGAATAAGTGGGGTTAACACATGAAAAAAAAAAACAAAAAAAAAACAAAAACAAAAAATAAACAAACAAAACAAAAAACAAAAAAATTACATCGATTTTCTAAAAAGAAACAGTTTCAAGATAATATAATTCACATGTGAATCAGTCGTGAATGTTTCATTAAAATCTGATAATTATCTAATTTTTACAAGAATTTCTAAATCAGTGGTTTTGCACCACAAAAAGGCGCTCAAATTTCCAATACACATTCATGGTCACTCACTAACGGAAAAAATAATCCATATATATATATATTTAACCAAAATTTTGAAGGTTCTAAAAGGATGATAAATTACAATTAATATGTAAATATATGTATATACTTTATTTTTTAATCCGACATATTTTTATTAATTTCGTATAATCTTTAATAAGTTTTCTAGAGTCTGCAAACTGGTAGACGAAATAAATATTGCTCAAAATGTTACTTAGTGGGTGTCCACTAAAAATAATGTTTGAAATAAAACTAAAAAAATATGACCCTAAAGTAATTTCCAAAAGAGTATACAATATGAAACACCAAGACAAAGTTCTCTATTCTAAAAAGCAGATATATATATATATATATATATATATATATATATATATATATATATATATATATTAGGAATGTAGTCTTATAAAAGGACTTCATCAGACTAATAGCTGGGTCAGTAAAGAATGGAGACATAAATGTAAATCTTGGTTATAATTATGTATTATTTATAGATATTTTTGTTTAATTTTGGTACATATATTTATTAAAAAGAGATGTCAGTGTTATTTTCATTTTGGGTAATTTAGACGACAATTTATTCATCGCACACTATATATACATACATATATATATGTATGTATACACACACACACACACACACACACACACACATATATATATATATATATATATATATATATATATAGAAAGAACAGTAAGTATATAGTCCGGTGTTCTTATAGATATTTTTATTTTTACAAAATAGTGCTCAATGTAAATTTACAAAGCATTAATATAATAACTTAATTGATTTAAAATATGTTTTTTGTCGCTACACAGTTCTAGCCATGTTTCAAAAATGGAAGATAAACGCAACGAATTTAATTTTGCAATTAAATTAAAGACATTAGTTCCATTTCATCCTCAAGCGAATTTTGGGAGGATGAAATGGAACTAATGTCTTTAATTAAATTCGTGGCTTTTTAGCTTCCATTTTGAAACATGGTTAGAAAAAATACCGAAAAACATATATTTTAAATCAATTAAGTTATTATATATACATATATATATATATATATATATATATATATATATATATATATATATATATATTCCAGCATGTTTGGTGGACAATCTAGACTTATTTTGTCTATTTTTATTTTAATGTTCTCAAATTAACTGATGAATTTCTCAGTGATGTTACACTACTGATTAAGAAAGACGACATAGTTTTGGTAATGTCTTTTATTTTCCTAAGTATTTTCAATCTCTGCTACGATCATCTTCAAGACTGAATTGACAAACAAAAAATAAATGTATTTGATGTTTGTGAATTTTTTTAAATGTGCAGGAAACGCACTCCGTTAAAGACAATTTCAAAATTAAAGTTAAGAATATGTAAGGGAGATAACTTAATTATATTTTTAATTATTAATGTTTTAAAATACTCAACCTGCAATTTTTAAAAAAAAATTTTTACAGTTTAAGTATCCCAAAACATTGCTTTTATTGACATTTTAAAACATTCTTGCTATACCCATAATTAATTTTATTTAGTGTTGGTTGCAATTTTTTAAAATATAGAGCGCTTGAAGAATTTGAAGATTTTTTTTTATTATTTCCAAGGTGGAGCATACTTGTATTGTCAATTAATATTTCTCTAAAACGTAAATGTGGGCAGGAATTTTTAACCAAAATTTGTAACGAGTGAGACTCGTTCTTCATGACTGGTGCTAGTTCGGGGTCCGATCAGCAGGATGGAATGAAACTAGTTCGGTTTTTAAGGTACTGAATGTAACCATTTAGTTTTTTCCCACAGGAAAGTTAGTTCACTATTTATAGCTAGGACCTAACAGGTGCTATCACCCAAGATCAGGGTGGACTTGCAAACGACAGCAATGAGAAGTGGTTCCACGCATATAAAAACCTCCAATCTACCCATTAGAGGCCTTGCTACCGGATGTAGTTTATCGTCATATCTAGGACAGGAACCCAGGCGGTGAATACATTTTCTTTTCTAAGTTTTCGCGAGTGCTCAGAGCAGTTAGAGCCGGATTAACTACCCACTTGTGCAAATTAATTGAAACAACCACTTTGGTTTCCTTTATTTCACCATACAGTCAGTTTTAGACACACCCAAGTGACAGGGTATAATTGATTTCTATTTTTCCCTCATATTTGGTCATTTACAATGGTGTGCAGTGATACAGATCTATTTTCGAGATGTATGATGAAATTTGTTTGGCCTTGAAAAATATTGCGTCATCCGTGACTGCATCATTTTCATCGCGCCCATACACTATTGTCTCGACTATCGATTAGTTGTCCTATGGCGATTGTCTGCGATGGATATTACTCCAAGAAAGCGTACAGAAATTGTAACGCTGCAAGAACACACTGGCAAGCCTTACCAGTGTGCAAATCAAAGTATTATGGATTGACCCGGAAACTCTCCTAATTTAAATCCAATTGAGAATCTGTGGTCAATCTTCAAGGAAGGACTTCGTGGAATGGACATATGAAGTACTAACATGTGTACTGGGTCATGTTTCATTGGAAAAATACGAACAAAACACTAAATAATAACGGAATTCTTCATTTTGTTTCAATTAATTTGTACAAGGGTGTACTTTGAGGAATTGCTCGACCTGGGTGTCAATATTTGATCTTTAAGAGAAGACATGTTGTTGTTGTTGTTGCTACTTCTGCTTCTTCTCATTTTTTTTTAAATTTTCAAGCCAAAGAAAAATGTCTATAATTTAACAACTTGGAAGAGAACGATCAGCGTT